TTGTCAGTATCAAGTAATACCTCCATCCAACCCTTTGTTAATCAAGTGGGATATAAATAATTAAGGTTGTAGGACATATACTTAAGATATATTCAAGTCTCTTTGATATGAAGTAATTCTAGATGTTCTGGAAGTTCTGGATTGGAGGAAAGGACCATCAGGATGCAATTCAGAGAGGCTAGAGACAGAGTGAGCTAGAGCAGGCGCGAAAAGGACGAGACAGAGCCATCCCTCACAGAGCTGGAGCATTCTGAAGACTAGGCTAAGACGGGTATGAAAAAGGTATTGGAGAGTCAGTCAATGACAATTCATGAGGAAGTGTGTGAGGGCTCCCTGAGGACGCGAGTGAAGACTGGAGGTGAGAAGAAGTGGAGGAAAAGAGATTAGCCAGAAATCTTACAGCATCTATTAATAAATATCATTGAGATTGTAAGTATTTAGCTGTAAGCCAGATGCTAAGGATACAGATGTGTGATATCGTGTTCAGAGAATCCGTAGAATAATAGAATATGAAATTTTTAGTCTGGAGACAAATATAAAGAAAACTTTATGACCTCTATTTTCTGATGAGGAAACCAAGAGCCAGTGTATATATATATCTACAATAATCGTGATCCTATGTCTTCTATCGGCTAATCCAGAACTTTCCTCATTATATCCAACAAGTCTAAGTTAAGTTTCTTTTCTAACACATATTTTAAAGGCAAAAACAAGAAGAATGAAAGCAGAGGATGGAGAAGAAAGTTTTACTGTTCTAGCAAGGGAAATGATGATAACAACTATTCAAAAGAAGTGAGAATAATGATTAAGAAGAACAATCATAAGCTATGCTAAGCATTTGGCAAACACATTTAAGCCACCCAACAACCTTTTGAGAGGAATGATTACTACCATTTTACAGGTAATATTAATAATAATAATAGGTGTCACTCTCTGTATGCCTGGCACTTTTCTAAGTGCCTTACATTAACCCATGTAATTGGCATAATAACCCTAAAAAAATAGGCACTTTTATTTTTTCCACTTTGCAGGTGAGGAAACTGAGCACAAATTTAGTGACCTGTCCAAAGTCACATAAGTAGCAGAGCTCGGGTTCCAAGATGCTGACCAGCAAGGGGGAGGGTCATTTTCTAAGAGGCTGTTGCCTACAGATGAAAGGTTACACTTTTGTGTTTCAAGAAACGACCCTAATCAAGGAGGGTTAATAGGTCCGATGGTTTTTAATAAAGTGAATTGATGATCTAATTTACCCTGCTACAGAAAAATCAATGGGAATCATTACAATGTATTTATTAAATAATTCAAACAAATATTTATTGAGTGCATACTCTGCTTAAGTATGGTGCTAGGTAGTGAATAAAAACGTTCTGATTAGAATTCAACTCATAAAACCTTATTGACGACAAGTAAAATGTTTGAGTTAAGATTTGTGGTGGACACTTCAGCTTCTTGGCTGGCATTCCCTGAACACTCACCCCCTGCATGAGAGCCGGGCACCCCGAGGGTTTGATCCCAGTTTCAGCAGTGGGTCCATGATCAGTCAAAGCCAGTGTCGGTACAATTCCCCTCCTCTTGCCAGAATGACTGGTTCAGGAATGGCCACAGACACAGTCTGGGCTAATGAGAGCTGAAGAATGGTTTGCCCAGTTTTAAGAAATAACACATTCTTTCTTAAGAGGTAACTTCTTGAAGAAACCCTCTTTCATTTTTTCCGTATCAAAGAGGGAGTATGTAGCACTAGGGACTAACAGCACTCAGCTGGGGCCACAAAGGGAAGGCAAGTCTAAAGGAGGATGACCCCATGGAAGGCAAAGCAGAGACATAAAAAACAATTCTGGGGATACAATCAAGCCTTTGAGTCAGACCCACTGGTAGACTGCCAGTTGTACAAGCCAATAAACCCTCTTTGTTGTGCAAGCCTGTTTGAGTTAGGGTATTCTGTTAATTCTAACTGAACACATCCCAATAGAAACATCATTCCCCCTACAGCTGCTCCTGCCCTTTCTGTTTAAATAGGCAAACCATTTTAAAATCACATCTCTAGCCATGTTCCAGTAAAAACCAAACCACAAAACTAATTACAGTGAGGAACTGTGCTCACACCCTCCGAGTCCCCAGCATTTTGTAGAGTGTATTAATGCTACTTCAGTGGGTTTCAAAATAATCAAATTTAATCCCCAAATAACTGTGGAGTTAAAGGGCATACAGGCTTGAGGGAAACGTAGCTCAGAAGGATAAACCTGCAGTGTTAACTTTGCTGGAATAGACTTTTTCTATGATTATAAAAAAATCATTATAATTCTCTCTGCTCATGTTTCTTACTCATGGATATATGAACACATGACCTGTGGAAGGGGCCAACTAACAGAGACTGTGGAAAGAGCTGGTAGGAAAACATAAGTAAGATGCAAATTATCTAGATTTGCCTACAACAATGTTCTTTCTAAACATAACCCTTTCTACCCTCGAACACACATAAATGACACAACTCTTTACCTAAAGCATCTAGTTTGTCTGAGGAATTCGTCCAGTGTCACACCAAGTGAAGAAGCTACACTGTGGTGTTAAAAACATTGCCACACATCAGTTTCCACTATATTCAGAAATTCAGTGTTATAACTTCCACATAATGCAATCTTTAGAATTTTGGTATCACAAAATCCTTATCTTGATGATTGCTGTAGGTAAAATAATGAATCCAGATTCCTGTAAAGCCTCAGTATTCCTCATCCTGTTCACAGAAATGCCAGCTACATGTTACCCTTAGTCTGAAAGTACCAAATTGCAAGTGTTTAATTTTAATGGCATATCAAAGAGCCTACCTAATGAAAACATATTAAAAATTCTAATAGGCATTTAAGAGTTTTATTTGCTAAATTATATTATGACTCTATAAATTTTAATGATGTTCAATTAGATTATGCAGAATTTTCAAATAGTTGACTACCCTTCATTCTTCACTTTAAAAATGCATTATCTCTTTCCTTTTTTTTCATTATCTCTTTTGTACACGTAGGTATACTTTCCTATTCTATCAGAACACATTTATTTAATGAATACACGTTTATTAGGTATCTACTACGTGCAAGATATTAAGTTAAATGACAGAGATGCAAAAACCAGAAAGGTGCTATTCTTGCCTTTAAAGTCAGTCTCATATGTAACTAAATAAGCAATGCAATGTGTGCTATAACACAGGCAAATACTAAGTGCCAAGAGGGCAGAGAAGGAAGGTGTGACTAGCTTAAGAGTTGGGAAAAACGTCAGAGTATCTTCAAAAGACAGTGACATGGGAACTGGGTCTTGAAGGATATATAGGAATTTCAGAAAAGGTGAGAGTAAGAAAATGTCACAGAGGTGTGAACGTGTATGGGATCTTCAGAAAACTGTGATATGACTGAAGTAGGGGGAAGGGAAGTGGGAAAATATGAAGCTGGAAGGGTTAGCTGGGGCCTCATGTACCAGGCGAAACAAGCTGACCTTTACCAGACTGATGGGGCAGTAAGAAAAGTTTCTAAACTGGGAAGTGATGTGTAGTTAACAATGTATTCGATGAATCTGAGATTTTAGAGGTGAGGGGTAGATGGCCCTCTTTTTTTTACACATTTTGCAAATGAGCCATGGGAAGCCTTTGTTTCAGGGTATCTCTCCTAGACTGTTTGAGGCAAGTCACCTTGGAAGAGGGAGAAGACTGCATCCAGAGCAAAGGGCAGGCAGGTCTACTCTCCAGTGTAGCTGACTCGGGCTCCCCAAGCTCCGCTCAGGATTCCTTTTCTGTAACTCAAGCAACTGCCTGTGCGGTTGTCATCCACCCCTCACATTGTCCCATGAGAACTGGGGCTGAGGGAACTGGCACAAAAATGTTCATACCCCAGCTATAGCCATTGCATTGAGTAATAAACTGTCCCACTTCACCCTGATCGCCGGCTAACTTACTGGCTTGCAAATATGGGTAAAGTCTCAGACCCTTCACAGTTTTTGACAAGAGACAAGTAGAAGTTACTGCAAGTCAAAAATAATGAGGACCTGTGCTTGCACAGAGCCCATAGGAATGCAGTATAAGCCACAGCAACTCAAAATGCCCTTTAGCCCACCTTGCTTCCCTGTAATTGCTTACTGCTCAGGAGTGATAGCGCTCACGGTCATAAGGTTTCTTAGCTTTCTTCATTGCTCCCATAGATAATGTCACACTTGTGAAACCTAAGGCCAGTTTTCGAGTTATCTTCCAGGCCCCACATTCCGGTGGACCAACTGACCCACCCAGACCCACACCAAGGAACTAACTCAACTGGTCTTGCGACCCCCATCCAGAAACTGACTCAACACAAGAAGACAGTTTCTATACCCCTGTAGTTTCATCCCGAACCCAGCCAATCGGCAGATCCAATTGCCTAGCCCTTTGCCCACCAAACTATCTTTGAAAACCCTTTCTCCCAAATTCTCAGGGAGACAGATTTGAGCAATTCCTCTCGCCTCCTCACATGACGCCTGTGATATTAAACCCTTTCTCCGCTGTAACCCCTGTTGTCTCAGTGTATCGGCTTCCTCTTGAGCAGCAGGCAGTGAACCTGGCTGGGCTGTACAATGTAACTGTCGCTTGACCAGTGTCAAGCATGCTGAGAAGCTGCCACAGAGCTTATAAAGAGCAGAGAGAAGACTGGTGGAGATCCCTGATGAGAAGGAATAGTGAGGACATAAGAAGGGATGAACTCTGGAACCGAAAAGGAAATATTTAATATGCATCCATATAGAGGTCCCTCACCTGCAAAAACTGCACCCTGGGTGACTTTCTCCTCCTTTAACCAAATGCAAATCTACTGCTCTGGCTACCTTTCTCACTCAGAGATGGATTTCAATACTAAACATCATTAGGTTTAGTCCAACTAAACTAAAAATTAAAAGTCTCAATTAGAAAGCACATTATAAAACTGCTGTAACTATTATGTGATCATTTTAAATAGACATAACTCAGGTGCCTTGAATCCAATCATACTTCTTACCCAGCAACTCATACAGAGAATTTAGAATGGATTTCCAAGATTCCCCTGCCTCTCGCCCAGCGACGTCAGCAAAGTGAGCCGCGCTGCTGTAGACATGTAGTCGGTCTATACACTCGAGCACAAGATTGATCATTCCCTGGAAAGTTAAAAAAAAAAAAAAAAAATCACCATCAGAAACTTTCATTCTGCTCACAGACTAAAAATGCTAAATTGATTTAAAAAAAGAAGTCTGGCTTAAAACACTCCTATTAATCATAAAGAAAACTGTGATCATTTATTCAAAGGACAGGAAGAAACACATTTGCATGTGAAATGAATGTTCTTCAAATAGTTCAAGTGGATTTTAAATCTTGAGTGTCATTATCAAAGAGGAGGGGAAGAACAATATGAAAACATGTACTTTATACTTACGGTATTCTAATGTTAAGTAAGCATAAGAACAGATTCTCATTCTTAAGCATTATTGTTATTATTAAATTAAAGATAAAGTAAATTAAATAAAGAAAAGCTCATGAAAGGAGTTTTAAAGCAAATCAAAATTCATTATAGAACTTTGTAAGATGCAGCCTAAATTTGAAATTATGCTTCGTTTTTATTACTATTGCTCAGATCGAGGTTGTCAAAATAAGGCAAAACTCATAAAAGGAAAAACTATAAACCACTGACTAATAAAATTAACTTATTTCACATTTCACACAGAAAAAAAATTTTTTTTTTTTTTTTTTTTTAGACAAGGTCTTGCTCTGTGGCCCAGGCTAGAGTGCAGTGGCATCATCATAGCTCACTGCAACCTCTATCTCCTGGGTTCAGAGGATCCTCCTGCCTCAGCCTCCCATGTAGCTGGGACTACAGGCACTACCACCACTCCTGGCTAACGTTTTTTTTTTTTTTATTTTTTGTAGAGACAGGGTCTCACTATTACCCAGGCTGGTGTCAAACGCCTGGGCTCAAGTGATCCACCTGCCTCAGCCTCCCAAAGTGCTAGGATTATAGGTGTGAGCCACCATGCCTGGCCAACAGAGAATTTAAGAGGCATCATGGGCCTAAGAACATTTCTAAGTCCCCATCCAGATGGTTTCATATGATAAATTGAACACCAATCTAAATTAATATTTTAAATGTTCACAGCCCAGTATTTAGTTTTACTTCTTCCAGATATTAAATAAATGCAGTATAGTAAACAGTCCAACAACTTGACATACGTAAAAAGAAAGGCTCCCAATAAACCACTCCATGTTGTTATTCTAGGTTTGTTTTGACAATTCCTTTGCTTTCATGCCATTATGGTTGTCAGGTTGTTTCTTTTGTATACACAATAGGAAAGTCCTCAAAAATGAATGTCAGTTTCAAGAGCTTCTGATGGAATATTAAAAAACAGGTTTAAAACTGGAAGAAACATAGATTTAGAGATTATGGGACCTCAGCAGTGCCCTCTAACCCTTTTTGTTAGATACTTTTACAAAGTTACTTTTACCCAGAAAAAGTCGTTCCCTCACATAGAAGAACGGGAACGCTTGCTGGGCATGCCTGATTAATCCCGTCAACCCTGATAGCTCCCATTGAAACTCTCAAATACGTAGTACTAATTCTAACACAAGTGTTAGGACATCAGGCACATGGTTTGGGTTCTGTATATAAAATATGACACTGGAGCTCTTTTTTAGCAGTGGAGCTTTTGGTGAAATAAAATCACATATGGAAACGTAATATATGCAAAAGGGAAAAGTGGAGTTGCTCTGCCCATGTAGGGTGCCTGGAGCTCAGCCTCTGCGGGTGGCGCTTTCTTGGGCAGCTTCCATCCCAACACAAAGCTCCCTGTGGATCCTGAGGCATTTCTGAAACTGCCCTTTATAAAATAAATAAAAGACCATAGGGGTGGGAACAGCAGTAGAGGCCTGAACTCTGCAAAGGTATAGGCATAGCTAAAAAAAATAATAATATAGTATATATATTATGTATAAAAAACAGCCATTGTTCCTTAGCTTGCTTTCCCATAATTGCTCACTACTCAGGAATCACACAGCTCATGGTCACAATGATTCTTAGCTTTCTTCATCGCTCCCATAAGTAACATCACCCTTGTGAAACCTAAGGCTGGTCTTTGAGATATCTTCCAGACCCTGCATTCCAGTGGGCCCACTGACCCACCCAGACCAGTGGCCCAAGGAATCAACTCAATAGGTCTCAGGATCTGGGAACTGACTCAGCACAAGAAGATAATTTCTGCTTCCTAATCCCATGAGTTCATCCCCAGCCAATCAGCAGACCGATCGCCTAGCACTTTGCCCCCCAAACTATCTTCAAAAACCCTTTCCCCTAAATTCTCAGGGAGACAGATTTGAGAAATTCCTCCCCTCTCCTTGCATGGTGCTTGTGATATTAAACTCTTTCTCTGCTGTAACCCCCACTGTCTCAGTGTACTGGCTTCCTCTTGAGCAGCGGGCAGTGAACCTGGTTGGGCTGTAACATTTGCAAGGAGCCCACAAGAACCTGCTGAATCGTTTCAAAACCCTGGTGCTTTCTATAGTCTGTAATCATTTGGACACTTGAAGATTCCATATTGATGTAATCAACATGGAGCAAACTACAGTGTTTACAAATGACCTGGGTGAAGGCTGAGCAGAAGTAAATGTCTCTTGCTGTGGAACCGAAAACCGTTCATCTTTTAAAATTAATATTCATGGATAGAGAACTCAACATAATGTTCAGATTTCTCCAAGGCTAGTTTCCTCTGTTCAGCAGCATATCTGCTCCTCTATACCTCAAAAGGCAAAGACATCAAATAGATGAAGAATCATCCCCCCACCCCAAGAAGCTGCTTTCCCAGGAGAACAACAGAAAAGCAATGAGCTTTGGTAGAAAGTCACCTCTTCCTGGAAGAGATTCTGCCGATTCTTTAGGGCTCGCAGTCTGTTCTGCTTGTCTTCGTGTTCTAAATGCTCATCTGGTGGGTGGAAGTAGCCAATAAGATCCCGCAGACTCAGACTTACAGACTCTATGGGCAAGTCTACTGTGGAAGGCTTCACCTTCTTGTTGAGAGCATCGAGGCCCCTAAAATAAATAGCAAACATTTCTCTATGTCAATGATCCACAATTTTATTATTTTCTGTGATAGATGATTTCACAGCATTACTCCCTTCTCCCTATACCACTGTAAAAGGGACATATAAGAAAGTCATCCTTTTCCTCAAGCAGCAATAATGAACAGATTCAAATGAGAAATTGTTTAGCATGTCATGTATAATTACGTTATAAAAACCAGCATCAAGAGCCACTTATCTAGAGCTAAACCTGATAGGCTGAAGGGTCAATGCCTACAAAAACAATAGTCTAAATATTTAGAAACTGATTTTCATTTGAAAGTACTACATACTGCAAGGTTTAAGCTTCTGTCTTCCCAGAATCATAATAGTGATAGTTGCTTCTTGTTTGTTTGTTTTACATAAAGGAATTCTTAACAAGTTTTGCTATCATGGACACTAGCTTGCCACTCAGTTTAATTCCTGCCAGTTAAAAAACATATTCTAATAATGTTAACTTAGAAAATCTGCTTATTAATCAATAAATAATATATTAAAATACTTTTCTACTATTTGAAAGAAATGTATTTGAAAATTAGATTTAAAAATATCATGATGTATTTTCTAGCCTTTGAAGAAAAATGTATTACTGTCTTATAAATATGTTAATTCGTTGAGCTTACTGAGATTTTCAGTTTTATAACTCATAGTTTTGAATGTGTCTGAAAAGAACTTCAAAACATGATGTCTGTAAAGCACAATTATTCCAAGGTAAAAAGTTTATTTAAAAAAACACACAATAGATACTATGAAAGAATTGTCAAATACCTCTACTGTACTTGATATAGCAATAGTCTTATTAGTCATGATAAAATTTTAATGCATTAAAAATATTACACTTCCAATCCTGCTTTCTGTATCAGGAAATATAATATGGCAATATTTTATCCCAAGAAAATGTTTTTGGCTAATTTTCTTACTATATTGGAACTTACATTTAAAAAACAATAAAAGCCTTATTAATGAGAATTAGCTTAGATTTGAACTTTACAATGTTCAAAACATTATTTAAAATGTATCATCATTTACACATAAAGATTTCTAATAATTTTGAATACTTGACTTCAGCATTATTAAGTAGAAATAGTAAATGTGAGCAACTATTCTAAAGTTTTTGCTTGAAATTCCATATCGATTATACCAACAGAACTCTCATCTATTCACTAATTTCATCATCTCTATTAGTTTTTCAATGCCCAAAAAGCAAGAGAAGTGATTTTTCGGAAGAAAATTATTTCTTTCCTTTTAAAATGAAAATTCATATGTAATATTTTTTTCTAAATATTCATTCCATTAACTCTAGTTACATCATAAATAAATGCACAACAAATTCAAAGTCAATTCTCATAATACTAAAGGAAATGAAATTCAGAAGTGATTCAGGTATAATATCTACATTTTCAAATCTAAAGGAAAACAATAGTAAATTTCAGTTTTTAAGTTATTAAGTTGAAATAAACACATCTGCCATCAGGAATATAACCATTCAATTATTTTCTAGGAGATACTGCTTTTCAGAACAAATGTTGCCCACAATTCTAAAATTATTCATTATGTTACATTTTAGAGCTTTCATCTAATATAAAGACATTTATCATCTTAATTTTTCAAGGACAAAAAAAGATGAGGAAAAAAATTAATTCAGAAAACCAAAGTTGGTAGAATCACCACCACCAAGCCAAAATAGTAGAACCCTCTTTCCTACACATAATACTTCTTCCTACCCACAACACAAATACACACACACACACACCCCCAACACCACCACCATGACCTGAGAAAGAACAGAAGGGTTACAGGAAAAAAAAGCCACATTAGAAAAACACAAATGATTAAATCATCTTCACTTTCACTCTAAAACGTAAAAAGGAAATGTTTGAGTATAGATTTTTTAAATGAGTCTCAATACGAATTAAGTAAATTTGCATTAATAAGATGAATAGTAAAAAGTAATTTACTCTGAAAAAAATGGGTACAAATATTGTAAAGATACCGAAATTTTAAAGACTTTTGGTGCTTTCATGAATGTGACAGTAGGAGCAAAATATTTTACTTAAAAAATGCTCTTTACAATGTTCAAAAATTATGTAAGACTTTTCAAAGTTTCTGAAGATATTAAAGAATTATATAAATGCAGGACCTCTAATAAGTAATACTAAGGAGTATTTAAGTAAAACATGCATATATGTAAATATATATAAACATGCCTACTGGAGTTAAACAATATAACTAAAGGGTGAATATTCTAGAAAAGAAAAGAGAAGGGAAAAAACTAAAGCTTAATGAAGATTTAATTTCTGAAAAAACCAATATATAATTAAGGTCAGTTAAGTGTAAGAAGTATCACAAGAATGGAAAAACAAACACCACGTGTACTCACCATTAAATGGGAACTAATCAATCAACACTTACATGCACATATGGAAATAACATTCATTGGAAATCAAGCAGGAAGGAGGGGGGAGGAGAGGATGGGTAAATTCACACCTAACAGGTACAATGCACACTATCTGGGGATGGGCATACTTATAACTTTGACTCAAATGGTACCAAAGCAATTTATATAATCAAAATGTTTGTACCTCTATAATATTCCGAAATAAAATTGAAAAAAAAAAACAGGTAAACAATGACAATAAAAAGAAAAGCAAAATATAAATTTAAAACTCATATGCATAAAATTAATCCAATCTGAAAATTTATATATTAATCCTAATGAAAGATGTATTTGATTATTGAAAATGTCATAATTTTAGAGAATTAAAATGTACACAACAGTGCTAGAGGTTTTAAAATGCAGCAGCTTAATATGTGGAGCCTGAAATTTACTTTAATGCCAGCAGCTCTTGCTTTCTGATTTCAAAATAATTCGGATGTCTTTAGGTCAAGATAATATTTCATGTTACAATTAACATCATTGGCTTGTTTTTATTTTGCCTGTGAATTAGTGTACTAGTTACAAAAATCAAAGCTTATCAGAAGAAATTTTTAAAAAGGCTTAAAAACTTAAAAAAAAGAAAAAGTGACAGGTTATGCATCTAAAAACAGAGCTTCAAAATACATGAAGAAAAAGTAACAGACTATACAGAGAAATAGAAAAGCCCACAATTATAGTCATATATTTCAATACCTTTCTGTAATTAATAGAACAGACTAAAAAAACAACAGGGAAATTAAAGACCTAAACAATACTATCAACCAACTAGATCAAACTGACATTTCTGAACACCCCACACAAGAGGAAAATGTATTTTCTTTTCAAGTACACATGGAACACTTACCAATATAGAACTTTTTCTAAGCCATAAAACAAGTCTCAATATATTTAAAGCATTTAATCTTACAAAGTATATTCTCTGACCCATATAGCATTAGAAATTAGTAATAGAAAAATATCAGGAAAATCCCCAAATATTTAGCAACTAAGTAATACATTGGTCAAAGACATCATTAGAAGGAAAATTGAAAAACAACATATCAAAAAGTGTGAGTTGCTACTAAAACTAAAAACAAATTTTTAGCATTAAATGCTTATATCAAAAAAGAAAATCCTCAAATTAATGATGTCAGTATTCATCTTATAAAGCTCAAAAAGTAATAAGTTAAACCCAAGGCAAAAAGAAGAAAAGAAATAAAAAAAATCAGAATGGGAATCAGAAAATCTTTTTATGGTTAAATATGCATTAATATAACCATCCTATTTTATCATGATAGGTATAATGAATGAATTTCATTCAAATAACCCAGCCAAAAATTAACTTTCAAGATTTAATGAAGAATCAAGTATATAACTCAGCATTTTAACCATAGAATCTAAATTTCTCATACTTATTTCTCTATCTTATCAAATAAGTAATTGTCAAATTTTAAAATTATTCTTCCAAATCACAGACACTACTTTAAAAAAATGAGTCTAGTTTTGAACAAAGAGCAAATATGCTAAAGCAAATCCCATTCAAGATGAATTTTAGTATCTCAGTCAGCATACAAAATGTCACTTATGGTATACTATCACTGCATTAAATCTAAACACTGATATAGTTAACTTCCACACAAAATGCTTTTAAAAAACAAATCATCAATGTTTTCTCTAGTATTAAAGTAGCTCCTGCTTATCAAACAGAATCTCTGTAGTGCTGCTCAAAACTCTACTGAAGTCAAATTGAATTTAAAACTGTCCCTCATTATTTGAAGAATTCAATACTGATCAATATGATTAAGTACAAAATTGACTATTTTAAATATTTATGATTAATTTCCTCAATCCTTATCATGGAATTGATTGGTTATAGTAAAGAAGTATTAGTGGAAAGAACAAGATGGAAAAAGGCTAAGTTTAATTGTTTCAAAAATATATTGTAATTTTTAAGTAGAATTTCTTGACATGACTAATTTTATACTGTATTAAAATGTAATAAATTTTACTTATTATAAGAAATAAATATTATATAAAATGATATAAGTATAAATACAAATAATAACAAAAAGTAATATAGGAAATAAATAAAATATAAAAATGTGACACTTACCCCATCTTTAAGGCTTACCCCATCTGATGAGGCTTAGGATTTAGATGAGGCAGAGAAATGGGACAAATACTAAGGATTTGACTGAGATTTTTTTTTTATGCCATGAAGCCAAACATGATTTATTTATTCAACTACTATAAAAATGACTTTAATATTCGTTTCTAAACCAAGAAACTGGGGGAAATATTTTTAATTTATATAGGACAAATGGAAATTAATCTCTCTCACATAACAAAAGCTTATAACAGCCTAACGGAAATATCAACAAAGAGTAGGGTAAAACACATATAAAAAAATAAATCAAGAAATATGATTAAAAAATTTCCCCCCATCAAATTAGCAAAGTTTAAAGACATGGATGAAATCCATCACAGGTCAGAGTAAAACACATATAAAAAAATAAATCAAGAAATATGATTAAAAAATTTTCCCCCATCAAATTAGCAAAGTTTAAAGACATGGATGAAATCCATCACAGGTCAGAGTATATACTGGTATGTTACCAGAAAATACTTGTTCCACAAGTTTGATTTAGTTTGTAGATATGCGATTATTTCAATTATTAGGTGGAAAAACTCAATTATTATAAGAATCACTTTTTTGAAATACAAACCAAAAATCACCAACTACGTGGGCTTCCTTACCCTTATTGTAAAAGGAAATTAAATAGGTCCATCACAAGGAAGAATAGTTATAAAATAATCCTAACCTATAGCTATCTGTTACTATCACACATACAATTTCTAAAACCACATTTCTTTTTTAAAATTCACTTAAAAGAAAGACATAAAATCATCTAACTAGCACTTCCTAATGTGTTCTGCTGACCTACCAAACTGTATGTGACTTACCACCATAGCGTATCTTAGAACTGTCCATATGTAAATCCAATAAGGAAATGAAAATGAAATATCAATCAACTATAACAACAAAAGAAAAAGTACCTTATAAATCTATTGAAAAGGAAGACTGTGCTCCGGATGACTCGTGCTGTGCGTGATTCTTCATGCTGAGACCTAGACAAATTTAAGCCATCATCCATGTGGCCTTCATGGTGCATAATGGCCTGTGAGAAAGCAAAAATAAGGCCATAACTTCCAACAGCTCTTTCCCAAACTGGAGTTAAGGAGCTATACACTTAGGCAGGTGAGCCAGACCAATAAATAGAACCAGAGGACAGGTAGGGTAGACAGTGAAGCTGTTGTGTTGAGATAATATGCACAGGTTCCTATACAAACTAGCCGTTCCATATATTTATTTAGTTATTATTTTAAAAAATGATTCAATAAATGAGTTGAGCAAAACAAACAGCAGAGCCTATTCACGTATCTAGGTTCAATCACTGATCCATAGCCTAAGCAAACTTGGTACAGAACAGCAAAGGAAGCATAACATTGGCACGCCAGTAATACAGGAGTTCTGAACATAGACTGATTAACCAATCAGTACTGAAAGATGCTTCTAAGGCATCATTTTCATTTCTTTTGTTAGGGTTTTTTGGTTTTGAACTTTTTATGAAAGTATAACATTAGGAGAGAGAAGTGTAAAAATCTTAAATGGCAAGCTCAGTGATTTTCACAAAGTGAACACGCCTGTGTAACCAACACCCAGCTCAAGAAAGAGAATATTATAGGAACCTTAAAATTCCCCCTTAATATTCTTATCTTGCACAACATTCACCACTTTGCAGACTTTTAACAGCATAGATCAGTTGTGTACTATTAACATGTATCAGTAGAACCATTTGTACCCATTTGTGTATGGCCTTCTTCATTCAACGTTTACAGCAAGGTGATTTAATACACCTACTCAGGTGTACTGAACTAAATTTAGTAACTGGAACTATAACTATAAGCCATCTAGAAAGCAATGTAAAGAGGAAGTCCCACACCAAAATCAATGAGACACAGACATATCTATTCAAAAGTAATATTCTATGCTTAACTGCCTTCATTAATATAGAAAAAATGACTGAAATGAACTTATACGCATTTTAAGACTCTAAAATAAGAATAGCAAATAGACTTGAAAAGTGGAACTAATGAAGATAAAAACGGAAATTAATAAACTAGAAGTCAAATAAAATCCTAGAAAGGATGAATAAACACAAAATTTGATTCTTTGAGACAATAAATAACATAAATAAACCTCTCATAAACTAGGCTAAAGATAGAGAGGAAGCAAAATCACAGATACTTGGAAATTACAATAATATAACACTGTGTGCAACTCCATGGCAAAAACAAAAAACAAACAAAAACACAAGCAAAACTGTATATTCCAGAGAATAGGATAGATTCTTAACAAATTAAGAATAGTCAAAAGGAATCCCCCCAACTAAGTAGAAAATTTAATTAGAACAGTTTCTTTAGAAAAGATTGAAAAGATAATTTAAGATCCAATATTTAAAAGACATGAGACCAGATGGTTCCACAGGTAAGCTTCAAAAGAACAGATAAACCTTCAAAGGTTTGATAAACCTTCAAAGAACAGTTATTTCTAATGACAGACTAATCTAGATCAGGGGTTGGCAAACTACGGCTCGTCACCTGTTTTTGTACAGCCCATGACCTATGAATGGTTTTTATATTTTTAACAGGCTGAAAAAAGACCAAAAATAATATTTCATGACACGTGAAAATTAATAAACATGAAAATTATACAAAATTAAAATTTCAATATCCATAAATAAAGAGTTTCCCCTATGAATATACTTGTAATAATTCTAAAAAAATATTAATTATATCTAGTAGAATGTCAAAAGAATAACACCCTATGGTCAAGTAGGGTTTATCCTATGAATTTAAGGATTCTTCAATAATTGAATGTCTCATAACTTATTTATGTTATCAACAGGTTAAAGAACACTAAAACATGATTTTTATCTCCTTTAATTAATAAAATTCAGCAATCATTGCTATTTTTTTAAAGCTAAGTAAAATAGGAATAGCAAGAGATGACTTAAATATGAAAACAATTTCAGTTGTCCTCAGGATAGAAGTACTTCTCTCCTGAAGTGAAAATTCACTTCAGAAAATATGCCGAGGTGAATAAACCATCAGAATAGATAAAAGGACAGCAAGCTGGGATAAAAAGGTGAGCTGGTGAGACAACAAAAGAAAAAAAAAGCAAGAAATCTAAAATTTCAAAGGCATAGAAGGGGTTTAGGAATACAACAGCACCAGAGAAAACAATATGAATGCTTTGGAAGACACACTTGAGAAGCAAAGTGTAGGGAAAAGGTCAGAGAGATAAGAACATTGAGAGAGGAGGAACTTGTCCTGTTTCTGAGAAAGTAACTAGCAAACTAAAATGGCATGAAAACAGAAACCAAAGACAGGGTTTAAGCAATATTTCTCTTAGTTTTAAAAAGATTTAAGTGTGCTGATCATAAATCCTTGGTTCCAGATGCATTTCATAATTCAGAGTTCTTCAGATATTTTTTAAAAGGCACTATGGCATATAACTGTGTATTTTCTAACACCACAGTGGGGTCTAGGTACCACTCCATAATCAGTAAATTTACATTTCTGCAGGAAAATGTGAATATTCACAACAAGTGTGATAATGAAAACTATGAATAGTGATTCAGAAACTTTTAAATAACGTTTTATTCATATGACATAACCACAAAGTCTCCCCAAAAGAATCTAATACAGTACATCGTTCTAGAAGTACTAAGAAGTATATAGTAAAGAATTTAATTTGATTATCTGTTTTATGGCCTATAAAGTTAATTTCACATGTTACTTCACTAAATCAAGACTGTTTAGCTTTTCACTCACACTTACCAAACCATTCTAGAAAGGCAAGCTTCTGGTTAGCCTATGACAGAGAATGGAAGTCCCATTCTAACTTTCATCCATGGTTAAGGAATGAGATAATGTAGGTGCTGGGACTAGAAGAAAGGATGGAAGGATGGATGGATGGATGGATGGATGGATGGATGGAAAGAACAGTGAGCAAGATGAATGAAGGGTCAGGTGAGAAAACACCTGTCACTTGTTTGCTGAGTGCAAAGGTCAGCTGAAAACAGCTGGCCTGTATGGAAGTTGTTAAAAAAATTAACAAATGACCCTGACTCTTTACATGTGTCCTTCGAAATAAATACGGAGAGGAAGTTAGCTGAGGAGGCCATTTTCTCCTTTAGATTTTGGTCTCTCCTCTTCTCTCTAAACACTGTGTTTCGAGTAATTATTCATTCTGTGAACTAAAATAAAATCTTAAGGCTCATTCCCCACTAGCTGACTGAATGGACCCCCTCATGGCCAAAGGAATATCCTAAAACTAAATTACCTGCCATGAGGAGGGAGGTCAGACGTGCCTTATCATGCCCCCCTCTTCTTGGGACATCCTTTGTAACCCATTAACAGGCCTAAGGCTGTGCAAGACAAACCTGCAGGTCCTCAATTTACACGACAAATCTACGTCCAGTGGCTTGTCTCTGGTTAACAGCTCCTTAAGTTAAAACATTCCAAGCCTTTAGACAAAGCTTCATGTCTTTAACCAATTACAAGTCAAAGAATCTTTAAACCCACCTATAACCTGTAAGCCCCCCTCACTTCGAGATGGCCCACCTTTCGGGCCAAACCAATGTATGCCTCCCACATATTGATTTATGACTTTACCTGTAACCCCTGTCTCCCTGAAATGTATAAAACCAAACTAACCCAGCCCCAGCGAATCCATTTGCTCAAGGCTTCTTGGGAGTGGCTTCAGGTCATGGTCCTTAAATTTGGCTCAGAATAAATCTCTTTAAAATTATTTTATAGAGTTTGGCTTTTTTTCCCGTTAACAATTCCTTCCCTACAGAGCTCAGGAGGGGAAAGGAGCCGCAACAAAACACAGAGTAATGATTAAGAACCCTGGGGTTACTGGAGTGGACTGAAGGAGGGGCGGCCAGAGGTGAGATGAGTGACCTGGTGTGTCCTCGTATGGAGACTGGCATTATTGCAGGAGGTAAGGCTCAGCCATGAAGGGTTTGCAAGCAAGGCAGTGACAAGGTCAGAATGGAGCAGAAAGAGGTGAGGCTACAGGCAGAGAGAAGGAAGAGGCAGCTCTGGAAGCAGTACACACAAAGATGATAAAGCCTGAACTGGATTTCTAAGGATGGAGCAGAGGGACCTAAGATGAGGTGCACCTAGAAGAGAAAACTGTCAGGACATGGTGCTTTGGTGAATTTAGCAGAATGAAGCAAGTAAACAGTGGACACTCTTGGTACTTAATTCCATACGACATAGTTGAAAAGACAGGATACAAAATGTGCTTTAGGATTTGTAGTACGCCAAAAATCCCTTTATTCCCAGCTATTTAAACTTGTAATGAAAAGCATGTGAGGTAGAATGTGGTTTTCAAAATTCATTTGAGAGGAACATGAGCAAAAAAAGGTTGAAGACAATTGTTCAAAGCCTTTTTGTTCTTTTCATTTTTTTTTTTTTGCATCTTACCACTTAAGCATATAGAATGAGCAAATAATACCTAAAGACTTGCGAGTAATTTTCTCATTGAAATTTATTTCCATCTTTACAAAAATACAATCTACATGTTACCATTTCTACCAAGATTTCTCTCATAACCATACATCATCTTCAAGCTTTTGATAAAAGCTATGAGAAAAATGTGATGCTAGACAAGAGCTCTTAGAAAGTAATATCTGAGTTAAGAATTTTGTTTTTTCTGTTCTTTGTAATTTGTGAAATCTATTTTGAACTTTCACCCTTCTGGTAGATATTGGCATTTAAAAACATAGAATGCACTGTGGAAAATCCAATAAAATCACTCTCACTCAGTTAAAAATTAAAAGGCCAACAACAAAACTCATCTCCACTGTCACAAGAAATGGCAGTGTTTATCCTTGAGAGTGGTTCTGATCAGAAGGAGGCACAGGTGGGGGAGGGGTGCAGAAAGGTGTTTCTAAAATATGAAGCTTTGAATTCTCTAGAACCCACACCGTAGAAGTCTTAAAATTAACATTAATAATACTACATTTGATTTAACCTAGTATGTCCAAAATATTTTCCTTTCATCATGTAATCGATATAAAACTGTTAATGGGACATTTCACTTTTTTTTTTTTTTGAGACAGAGGCTTGCTCTGTGGCCCAGGCTAGAGTGCTGTTTCGTTGTCCTATCTCACAGCAACCTCAAACTCCTGGGCTCAAGAGATCCTCCTGCCTCAGCCCCCAGGGTAGCTGGGACTCCAGGCGCCCGCCATGACATGACACCTGGCTAATTTTTCTATTTTTAGTAGAGACAGGGTCTCACTTTTGCTCTGGCTGGTCTTGAATACTCCTGAGCTCAAGCAATCTTCCTGCCTCAGCTTCCCAGAATGCTAGGATTACAGGCATAAGCCACCATGCCCAGCTGACTTTTCACATTCTTATTTTTTCATACCTTGTGTTCAAAATCCAGGGTATATTCTAGACTTACAGAATATCTCAATTCAAACACTAAATTTTTATTAAAAATACTCAGCTTTAGAATTCATGGTATTTATACTTGAAAAAGTATATGCACATACCCAAGTTGTTTTGAACATACATAAAAATTTTCCAATAACTTAAGTTTTTAAATTTAAATTAATTAGAATTAAAACTAAAGATGTTGTTCCTCTAGCGCTAGCCACATATAAACAGCAAATAGCCAGATGTGGCTAGTAGCCACTGATTAAACAGCACAGCCCTAGACCTAACTTCAAGTTCATGGGAATTATAAAGAGCAGAGGCAATCAGGGAAAAAAGTCAGACACATCCAGAATGTGAGGCATCCTACAAATAGCCTGGATTTTTATAAAACTCAATGGCACAGGGCAAGAACACGGTAAGGATCTTTTCTAGATTAAGAAACTGAGTATTTCCTGGTGGGTGGGTGCCAGAGAGACAGCGAGAGAGAGACTGAAAAGGCACAAAAATAAATAATTACATGAACTTTGCATCCTGATTTTAATGAACTATAAACAATATTATTGGGACAATGAAAGAAATACCGATATGAACAGGATATTAGATGATGTAAAAGAATTATCATAATGGTGTGTAATGGCACTGTGGATGTTTCTGTGTATGTGTGTGTACACAGAGAGAAAGTTAAAAAAGGAAGAAAGGATGGAAGGAAAGCCTATCTTGCAAACTATAATAATTGATGAATCTAATTTGAGGGTATATGGATGTTCATTAGTCTTAACTTTCTAACTTTTCACATTTGAAACTTTTCTAAATAAAATATTAAGAAAAAAGAAAAAGTACACTAAATCTGGTAGAAGAACCATGGCCAAACATCACCATCAAAATAAAAAATTGCTTTAAAGCCGAATCAACCTCTTCTGCCACAATTTTAACTACATTAGCCATTCACCTTACAAATGCTAACCCAGCTCACTATGTCTTATAATTCTGCAACGCTAATGCACTTGGAGAACGAGCTAAAAGGTGCATGGGTGATCTGACCAACTCGACTAGCACTCTACACCCTTGAAAATAAATGCTTTCATTTAAGAAACATTCAATGAGCACCTACTATGGTTCCGGCACTCTGCTAAGTACTAAGAATACAGAAATAAAAGACCTGGCTCCAGTCTCAGTGTCTTGTAATGGAGAGAGTAAGTCACAAATACACATCTTTGTCTCATCCTTTCCTTTCTGCCCCTCACCCTCAGAATGAGAACTGAACTTAGTTTAACTTCTGGTTCATTGGCTTCTAAGGACCTCAAAAAGTAGCTTTAGCAATTTGGACCCAAACATGGACAATATCGATAAATGTTGTAGACATTTTGGTGAGCAAAAGAAGTCATATACAAAGGAGTACATGCTATATTATTTCATTTATATGAAGTTCTACACCAGGCAAAACTAATCTATGGTGGAAAATGGTCGCAAGAACAGCTGCCCCTGGGGAAGAGGAGCAGGAATAACCTGGGAAGAGATCCTGGGCCACTTCTGGGGAAATGGAAATGTTCCATATGGAGGTAAGTGTGTGAGTCACACCACTGTATCCATTTATCAAAACTCTGCAGCTAAGTATACAGACGTCAATATATATAAATTTTACCTCAAAAAGGAAAATAAGTAATAATCTAGTGGAACACAGCAGCGGGTTGGACATGTAACTGAAAGGAGAGTGGGAAAGCAATGAAAATGTTTAAGGTGAATGGTGGAGACATAGGGGTTCATTAAACTATTTGTGTACTTGTTATTTTATTTTGTGTGCATTTGAATTTTCCACAATAAAAAGTTTTTAAACGCCAAATTCAGTTGCAAGAAATAAGGACTGCTTCACAAATATTGAATATCTACAAATACATTTAAATTTATGAGCCTAGATCAAAGACCTAAAAGACGAGTGATCATCTCATTATAAAGCTGGCACGGGTCTTGCAGAATCGTCTGTGGATCTCCGCGGAAGGGAGTACCGGGATGCATTCGAGCCAAATCCTGTGAACGCAGCGCCAGCCTCTCACTTCACTAAGATCAGCACTTGTCACTCTAAATAGATCACACTGACAGCGAATAATCCCTACTGGAATGTATGTACAGATTGTGATTAATACATGTATTGAAAATAAAAATGTCTGCCTTGCTAAAGCCTTCCTTTCATAGTTTCACATTTCTCAAAATAACATGCGTCTTATCATTTGGTTCTGTGCACTGTGCTGCATGTCATATGTAAAACTATAAACATTCTAGAACCATGTACTCCTCCAGGGAACTCATAAATTAGGGGGAAGAGAGAGACACATGTAGCCTAGTAAACAAAACAGCGCAAGGGGTACATATAAAATTTAATAAATTATATACAAATATTATGAGAATACAAAGGAGGGAGTAGCTGATAAGATGAGATAGGAATAATTTCTAAGATGATTTTTAAATTTAATTCTTAGATGACAGATAGAAGTCAGGCAGACAAAAAATGTTACCAAGGGTATTCCAAATAGAAGAAACAGTCTGTGCAAAGGCACAGGTGTGTAAAAGCTATTTTTTTCTTTTTTGAGGGACTTCAAGACATGTGCTATAAGTGACATGCTGGGGAAATTGAAGACAACACCTAGAAATTAAGAGAAGAATAGGGAAGGGGGCAGGCCAGGAAGGATATAATATCACCACCAAAAAGCGTGACCCCTGTCTTGTAAGCAAGGGGTATCAGTGAAGGACCCCACGGGGGCATGGAGGACAAAGTGAAATGAGGTAGACTAAGCCAGACTCCAAAAGACAGTATTGTGTATTTCTTCATTTAATATTTAAATACAGGAATCCAATAATCCTACATATCAGTGATGTAACGTCCAGCAACATTCACTTTATGAAACCAAAGAGTCTATTATAGTGGGATTTGACCTTTAGCATGTAAAATTATGAACTTTAGCACGTGGCTGAGTTAGCCACCTCTTTTTGACCTGTGCTTAGGTATTTTATTCATAAAAAATGACTACTACAAATTGTGCTTTTATATTGTATAACCTTACCTTACGTTGTATAGATCCCATTCTCACGGATTTCACATCCACAGACTGGTAAGTGAGCCACAGGCCTGTGTCTACATGTTGTATGAAGCATACCGAGTCACCATATTTTATTTCAGATGTTCCCATTCCATCAACTTCTTTTCTCACCCCTACATCCAATTTTTCCTAAAGGGAAAGGGAGGAAAAGATTAGCAAACATTTTAAAAATACCAGCATATAACAAACTTTGCCATGTTGTAAATATGGTCCTTAAAAAATTCAGCCCTCAAAGTCCCCTGAAATAATAGTGGTGAAATAGTCTATTCTTGTTTTTTTTTGGGAGACAGAGTCTTACTCTGTTGTGTTAGAGCACAGTGGCATCATCATAGCTCACTGCAACCTCAAACTCCTGGGCTCAAGCCATCCTCCTGCCTCAGCCTCCCAAGTAGCTGGGACTATAGGCGTGACCTTTTTATGAATATGTTATACATAGTATCTATACCTTTTCTCATCTAATAATACTGCTATCAAAAATCCAACTTGAATTCACTCAGAATACGAAATATGGAGAAGGACAATGAATCCTTAGAATTTTCTAGTACTGAAAATAAATAGTAAGTTAAAAATAAAAAAGATGAGCCCTGAATAACATTCTGAAGATGCCTATACCCAGATGAGTATATACTAACCTCAGAAATACAAAGTCAAACCTTTATCTATAACAGAAACACAAAGTTTTGCCTTTCTAAGACAAAAGCTAGTCAGTAGTTCAGTGTAAGTCCTGTCATCATGTGCAAGTTGCACAAATCTTCATTAAACTATGAACAAAAATATACAATTATCATAAAAGTTATTCAGTGGGGCTAAGAAGAAAGGTCTGCATTTAAGAGTGGATGTGTAAATGTATTTTTGACAAAAACATGCTGGTGTGCTTTATCCTTATTCTGTTATACAACATCACAGGGTTTGTGCAAACTGTATACCATCAATAACTAAGAAAACAACGAGGAGCTGGATGGATGTGTTTTATGAAAATAACCAAAGAACTATGAGCCAAGTGAAATACCTGGGCAGGTTTTGGTGGTTTAGGAAATCATTTTTTTTGTTTTTGTTTTTGTTTTTTTTGGAGAGGAAGGGATGGAAGAGAAACTGGGAATTTAGAAATACATGCAAAACATGCTCACATCATTTCTCTTTGCACTTCTAACATCAAAGGGGTTATCCCCATCACAGGAATTGTGATGGGGATATACTTACAGGAAATCCAAAATAGTATTTTCTGTCTTACCTTGGAAGACCGGAAGGTAAATGCTGTTGATTTTACGTCAGCTTTCTCTTTGTCCATGAGTAGAAGGTTTTTGTCTTCCATGAGACTCAAGTATTTTCCTGTTGTGACATGGCGTAGTCGGAATGGCTGGCCCCATCTTATGTGGCTTCCACTCCACCTAATGAAAACATTTAGGACTTGATCCGACAACATCCAGAATCATGGCAGAAGTAGCTATTAAAAAATGGCATTAGGAAATATAGTTCTATCACAAACATAAGCAGGATCTTTGACTATAATTTCCTAAGTACAAAGAAAAATTAGTAATCATGTGGCCACTGTAAACATTTAAACTCAATGCAGTTTAATTTGCGTATTTACAATAAAGTCAAAGTAGTTCAGAGTTTTAATGTAATCTGAAAAAAATCTTTAAAATAATTATATTCCTTACATATGCACCTCCTACTTTCCTGTTTTAGACAGGAAGGCAAAATAGTATTAATCAAGAGTCACAGGGTAGAGCAAAAATCTCTGTCTTTAATCTATTAAGTCGTTGAAAAACTACCTGCTCTGCCTTCTGCCAGGTTGTTCCCCTCAGTGACATCTGGATTCTAAGAGACAATTAGCATCCCCTTTCCCCTGTAGCTGACCATAAGATCATATATTTTCTATATATCAATCCTCCATAATCAAAGTGAAAACAAACTGCAAACTTTCCATTTCAAAATACAAACATAAGCAACAATAGAGAAACACAATCAAGACCACTTAATGGAAGGTGTGCAGAGGTTGGCAGAACAATCTGATTTATGTAGTTATGGTTCATTAATCTTATTATCAACAGTAAAAATGAAGTCCTTTCAGGTTTTCAGAAGTTTTCATGTTTTTTTTTTTTTTAACCAAAATTGTGAAGAATTTAGGGCCTGGCTCAAAAAAGAATTCATTTCTTTAAGCATGCAATCATGAAGTGTAGGTATATCTATAAATTTTGAAAACACATTTGGAATCTGTTTTACAAAGGCAAGAAAACCTCTCTTAACTGCACTTATGTTGACAAATTATATATAATTATAACCAACATATGGAATTATTAATATATGTCATTTCTTCAATCAGTCATTTTTATAATACACGAAGTAAATGTGTATTTACTTAAAATCCCTTTCCCGAAATTCTCTGAATAATTACAAAATATATAAAAGCTATGATTTTTTTCCCTTTTTTGCCTTATAAGTTAGTTTCTTCTTTCATTTCATTAAGAGATGCATTTCTAATAAAATTTTACTTTAATATTTATCAAAAGTTTTAATATTTAGGTGGATTTGATCAACTGCACATTTATATCAAAGAAATTTAATATTACCAATCAATTAATGGTATTAATATAGAAGAATTTTTTAAAGTTACAGCCTAACATAAGAAACACAAAAAATTAATGTATATATTTTTGTTGCATAGGAGTATGAAGTGAACAAGAGAATCAGTTATAATACAAATATGATTTCAATAAGAAAGAGGCATAATATAAATTTTTTACTGTTAAAGGAGATTTATTTATTTATCTATCTATCTCTTTATTTGAGATGGGGGTTTTGCTAGGTCCCAGGCTGGCCTTGAACTCCTGGGCTCAGGACTTTACAATGCTCAAGGATATACAAAGGTTTTCAAAATGATTCTATGGGACATGTGAGCAAAAACAGCTTTAGTCTACTGAACTATTTTAATCACCATTAGAAAGGCAATAATCCCAAAATAAACAGTCTATAAAGACAGCTATTCTGTAATAAAATAGTCCCACTCCCACACATTAAGGCTATAATCCTAAATCAGTAATTTCTTTAAAGCCCAATAAACTAGGGAAGAAATACTTTGAAAATATATTGCTTTTAGGCAAAGGGCTAATCTTCCAATTATTAAAAATATCTATTTTAATTCTATTTAAAATAGCCCAAAATGACACCTTTATCATCAATATTGTTATTTATTTAAAGGAACTAAAAGGTTCCAGACAGCTGTTTGAAGTCATCAGAAAAAAAAAAGGAAATATATATAATAAAAATTCTTATTACTATAATGTTTACACAGTGACTTTTATTACAATCCAGGTTTTTACGCAGCTATCGAGCTATTTTTAAGTAAATACAGTGACTGCCAGTAATGACTCTTGTCCTATTGTTCCAGTTTCCTCTGTTTTAAATGCGCTTTTGGAAGGTTAAACCCAGAGTCTGTCAGATCTGAAATGTGCCACAGGCTTGCGAAGAACTTGTCCTGTCTCCAAACCTTACATCACTCTGTCCTCCTCGGCCAAGAGATCCACGGTCTGGGCTACAGTGATGTTATTAAAACAAATGAGGCTAAAAACTAAAGAGAATCTACAAAATTATTGCTTATTTCTCAGGGTTACCAGCTGGTGAACTTAGACTAAGAGAAGATAAATAAAGGTAGGTGGGAGGAAAAAAAAGAAAGAGAAACTCTCCACCACTTTCTCAGTGTGCCCTTTGCTTGCTTGTTTGCTAGCAATGACCGTTTGACACAGACTCCGAAGTCAAGAGCAACACAGTAGTTAGTACCCTTGGAGCACAGGCTGTGTTCCGAAGTTCTACTTACGCAACTCTTAGCGTCTCCAGTCTCCACAGGGAACGCGCGTGCACAGATATAGCACCGCCTTCGAAATGAACGGTTCTGTTTAAACAAACAAACAAAGAGCCCTTTTGAGTTTAACATGTTTCATTCTTTGGACTATTATTTTTCAAGTTAATTAAAAGAGAAAAGCAAATGGGAAAGCATGTGGATAAACAGTTAAAGTCATACTTTTTGGAAGGAGACAATATAGCTGGAAATAAAAAGAACCAAAATAACAATAACAGTGATCAATGTAAGTTTGTCCTGAATAAACATTGATTTAATTGATTTAAACATATTGTCTCTTGTCACTTTCTCCCTTTAATCTCATTCATTCAATTCTTTCTTTCTCCTCCCTCTCCCTCTCTCTGTTTCTCTCCCTCCCTCATCTCTCCCAGCGAATAGATTTAAGTCACTCATCTAACTTAGGTCCAGGAAAGTACTCTGTCATCAGTTTAAATATAGGTCAATATATTATTATTTCAACATATGTATATAATTATTTGCAGCTCTAAATTCTGTTTCAGATACAGAAAGCATTGAAAGAAATGTAAGAACACCAAGTCCTAATATTTTAATGTAGAATTCTGCAACTTATATCAAAATATAAATATTTAGAAGAGTCACAAAAAGGAACTTATTTGGATGCATATCACACGCACCCAAATTCTAAAACTCTCATAATAATTGCTTAATATGCTGTACACAATGCTATGTAATTTATATACATTATCCAAATTGATCTCCATACCAACCCTTTGTGATTGTTTTAGGGAAACCAAAAGCTGATGCGCACGCCATTTCTTTCCCAAGTATTCACTATTTCCCTCTCCACAGGATCCGTCTCATCATTTAAATAAACTCAAGTTTATTCTGTCTCAAACGTAACAATACCATGCGTGCCCACGTCTTCCTCTCCTCTTTTCTGACTCACTGTTGCTTCCTGTCAATTTCCAGTGCACTCCAAACTTGCTTCCAGACCCACTTCTCCACTGAAACAGATTTTGCTATGGTCATCAAATGATCTTCATGTTACCAAATCTAATGGACTTTTTTTTTTTTTTAAACAGCATGGAAACTCTTACTGTCTTGACAGTTTTTCTAACACTATTCTCATCTGCTTTTCCTTCTACCTGTTTAGATATTCCTTCTCATTCTAACTATTTTTATTGTGAAATTTTTCAAATATACACAAAAGTAGACAGAATATTAAAATAAACCCCCATACCCAGCACACAACTTTAACAATGATCCACGTAGGGATAACACTGCTTTACCTATAACCTCCAGCTTCCTCTCCACATACAATCCTTAAAAATTATTTGATATTATACAATAGTCAGTGTTCAAATTTCCCAAATTGTCTCACAAATGTCTTTTATTTCTTCCTGTTGCTTTACAGATCAAGACTCAAACAAGATGTACTTAACTGGTTAGGTGTCTTAAGTTTCCTTTATTCTAAAACAGCCCCACTTCCTCTTTGTTTTTCCTTCTTGCTATTTATTTGATGAAAAATAGTCTGCGTTATTTGTCCTGGAGGAATTTCTACATATGGGCCATTGCACCCCCATGGTATATTTTAACATATACCTCTAAATTGGTAGTTAGATCTAGATATCTACAAGCTTGTTCAAATTTCGTTTTTTGGCAAGACCATTTCAAAAATTGGTGTTTGTACTTCTTATTATGTCGTAAGAGATACATAACGTCTAGTTGTCTGTCATTTATGTTAAAATTGATCAGGAGGTTCAGGATCACCCTGATCCATCATGACCTAAGAGTTTAAGATACATCAATGACCAGTGTCCACAGCAGTGATTTTCAATCTTGGCTGCGTAATCATGTGAATAGCTTTTAAAAATCTTTATGCTGTGGTGTCGCCAAGACCAATTAAACAGATTTGTAGTTATGATTTTCAAAAACTCTCCAGCTACTTGTAAGGGGAAGCCAAGACTTAGAAACCATGGTCTAGGTAAGGTTCTCCATAGTAGCACTGTGATGTTTTTGGCTGGGTAATTCTGTTGGGTGGGCTGTCCTGTGTGTGCATTGCAGTATGTTTACAGCACACCTGGCCTCTACCTACTACATACCAGCGGTAGCCTCCCACCAGCTGTGACAACCAAAACTGTCTCCAACATTGCCAAATGTCCATTCGGGGACAAAACCATCCCCGGCATAGAGCCACTGATCTGGATAAATGGTTCTCAATCTTTAGTGAGGCAGAACCCCTCAAGGGCTTGTTAAAACCCAGATTGCTTATTTTACTTAACATGATGTCCTCTAGGCTAATCCATGTTGCCAGGAATGATAGGATTTCATTTAATACAGCTAGGTTGGAGGAATAAATCCTAGTGTTCAGGATGACTATGGTTAACAATAATTTACTCTAATTTTCAAACATCTAGAAGAAAGAATTTTGAATGTTCTCAATACAAAGATAATAAAGGTTTGAGGTGATGAATATGCTAATTACCCTGATTTTATCACTACACATTGTATACATGTATTAAAATATCACATTGTACCCCACAAATATGTACAATTGTGTGTCAATTTAAAATATTAATTAAAAACACCAGATTGCTGGCCCCATCTTCGGAGTTTTCAATTGAGTAAGTCTGAGTGAGGCCCAAGAATTTGCATTTCTAACAAGTTCCCAGGTAATGCTGAGGCTGTCGGTCCACATCCTTAGAACCACTGGGGTAGACCCACTATTTCATTAAGGCAGCAGTACTTAATCTTGGTTGTGAATTAGAATCACCCAGGAAGCTTTAAAAACTCCAATGCACAGATAACACTCAGACTAATTAATTCAGAATATTTTGGTGTATGTTGGAAAGTAATAAATGACACGTTGTGTATGACTGTGTATCTATACACATTTATAGATAGATACACTCACACAAACACAGATTTTTTAAATATATCTGACCTTTAATAAAAGTCTACTTGGCCACAAAAAAAAAAACCTTTATCAGATTTTTTTAAAGATTTTTACTCATATTTTCTGATCATAAACAATAAAATTTAGAAACAAATAGTAAAAAATGAAAAAAATTAACAACTTGGAATATTAAGAAACTCTCCTAAATAATTCACGGATCAAAGAGGGATCAAAATTATACTCTATCTTGAATATAAGGAAGAGAAGAACATTTTATAACAAATCTATGATTCACAGGTAAATTGAAAATAACTAGCCTGCAATCTCTTAAATATTGGAGAAAAAATCATGAAAATAAAGAAACAGTTGCCTGAAGAGATAAAATAAAGAACAAAATAAACCAACAGAAAATAGGAGCCTCTATGATGTACTGTTAAGATAAATAAGAGGCCGGAATGCAAACGGTGTACATTTCCTAAAAAACAATAAATCACTTGAAATCTATCATATAGGGCTGGGCACCGTGGCTCACACCTATAATCCTAGCATTTTGGGAGGCTGAGGTCAGAGGATCACTTGAGGCCAGGAGTTCGAGACTAGCCTGAGCAACATAGCAAGATCTCCGTCTCTATGAAAGATAAAAAGCGAAAAAAAAAAAAAAAATTAGCCAGGCATAGTGAGGTGCACCTGTAGTCACAGCTACCTGGGGGGCTGAGGCAGGAGGATTCCTTGGGCCCAGGAGTTTGAGGTTGCTGTGAGCTATGATGATGCCACTGTACTCTAGCTTGGGCAATGGAGCAAGACCCTGTCTCAGAAAAAAAAAAATGTATCCATCATATATATGTATATATGCAGCTATATATCTGTATGAGCATGGAGAAAGTTGCTGGATACAGAACATCAAACTACACTCTAGCCCAGGAAACAGAATGAGACACTGTCTCAAAAAAATAACAACAACAAAAAAAAGAACATCAAACTAATAATATTAATGACATAACAAAAGGTATAGAGGAATTAAGCTTGAAATTAAAAAATGGTCTCTAAGATACGAATAGCATGAATAATGTTTATGTAAAATTATACATATTTATAAATAATAAAGCATATGAAGAATTATTAAAATATGTTACTCTTTCATAACTTTTATTGTTTAACAATGATCTTTTATTATTTATATAAGAACAACTGTAATGGTATTTTTAATTAACATTTAAAAACACAAATAGAAAGCCAAAAGGAAAGTTGGATCCTCCTTCCTACTGGAAATACTTTTAGCTTTATCCTAAAGGGCCTTGGGCCTTGAATTACTTCTCTTCAATTTTTTAAAATGTTTCATTGGCAGGTGTAGAGAATCTGATGACTTCTTTCAATTATTTATTGCTGACTGAGGAATCTTTGCTATTTTATAGAGTTTCCCCATATAAATATATGGCACGTCCAGAACATCAATGGTTATCTAATCAAGTCTTCATGGGCTATTTCTGACTGTAAATTGGCACCACAATATCAAGATCCTAAATAAATAAGAATCTCTGTCCATCATAAGTGACTCTAACAGCAAACTCATTTAGAACTCGGTCCACCTGGAGGAAGACACTTGCTGGGTGAAGGGATTGTCTCTGTCCCCTGCAATGCATCTCAGGCACCCAGTCAGAGTCCAGAAGCATAACTGTTTTACAGACCAAGTTTGCTAAATGTTATTGCCATCCTTGAACTAAATCCTTGAACTAAGTGATCATCTTCAGGGCAAGTGCCCTTTCCAACAGGAAGACTGAGACAGGAGAAAGATTCTCTAAAAAATTAAACAGAAAACTCAATTTAAAGAAAAAGTTAAAAAAAAAAAACAGAAAAGAAAAACAGAGCAACGGCAGCAACACACTTTTTGAGCTGATCAGCACAGGGGATTTGAGTGCCGATGGCAGCAAGATGCCAACGTTCAGGGCAGGATCAACAGATATAGAAAATACAAAGGTCCTCATGCAGCACTCGTTCACCAAAGACTAGTTTGCAATGTACCAGCTACTAAGAAAAAGAAAATGTGTCAAAAGAACTGGACATTGATATTTCTAACACAATTTTTTTATTAAGACGTCCATCTCATAAATCAGAAAAAGTCAAAGTCACTATAATTTCACTGAATAGGAATTTTTAAAATATGCACATGTAATAACCA